AAGAACAACTCCCTTGGCTCCTCCCCACTGCTGATGTCCGGATCACACTCCCTTGCCTCCTTCCCACTGGTCCAAGAATCAGGTGCCTCCTGGTGACCAACCAGCCTCTCTGCACTCTGCTCGGAGTCAGAACCCTGTCCAGGGTCCTCCACATCCTCCAGAGCCGACTCATAGGGCCCCTCGCTGTCAGCGTCTGGTGGCAGCTCCAACGGCTCCTGCTGGGCCACAACACATGGCCATGCTGTGCATGCCAATAACTGTCTCAGATGATGCTCCCAAGTGGTGTTCAAGGAAAGCCCCATATCGAAAACATTGGAATAATTCATGAAAGAGGTGACCAAAGCATGAGTAATTGTCCAAAGGACATCCAGGTCTAAGGTCATATTTAGCATATAAGAAAAAAAAATGTGCAAAGGTTTTCCTGGCCACACTGCAATCTGCTGTTTGAGCAGGAGATGTGAGTGCAAGGAGACTCCCCAAAATTGCATGTCAGCCCCAAAAGAAGTCCAGTCCTATTCAGTTCTAACATTTCCAGCCCTGGGTATTCTAAATACACACAGCCATTTAGTCTGATAGTATTAATCTAACCAAATCTTGTTATAAATCAGGCCGATCCCTAGAGGGCATCCAGCTTGCCTTCCAAATATATAGGTACATATACAGGATCGTGATCTCAAATGAGATGTGTGACTTTTTTATCCCTAGCGTCAAGGTTCCAAGTAACAGCCCATAAGAAATCAAAACTCCAGGACAGGGTTCCTCAAAGTATAGATTTATTAGGCATGTCATATTGGCACAGCTGGTGAAAACCCAAATCTGAATCCCCCAGCTTTTCCTCACTCAGTTCAAATCCAAAGTTCTTCCCCATATTACACGCAACATCACATGCCCCGATCAGGTCTCTCTTCCCATCCTGGATCCCTCCCATCCACGCCCCTCTTGGTGCTGGTGAGAGTGTCCTTGTTTCCCGGAAGAAAGAAAGCTATTTTGGCTACATATTCCTCTCAGCTATCTCTACTCCCCCTTCCCTTTCCCACAGCTCCATCCAGCCTCGCTGTGGCAGTCCTGAAGATGCTCAGAGATGGCTCCAGGGTTGACACATAGGATATCCTCAATCTTACATGATTAGTTTCCAGGATGAAATCATGTATTCTGTGATAGAATAAAGATATGAAAGAGAATGCTGGATGTCCGATCAGTTGAGAAATCCATTCCTCTGTGGGGCTCATGCTTCCCTAAGTGTATATTTTACAGAGCCAAGGTGGGGCAGTGGTTAAATGCAGCACTGCAGGCTACTGCTAGATCAGCAGGTCAGCGGTTCAAATCTCACCGGCTCAGGGTTGACTC